GGTTCATGGATGGGAAAATCTGTGCAATGTGGTTTGCATCTTGGCGAAATTGTATGGAAAATCTATAAAGGTAGATTCCGACGTTCATCGATGGGTAATTGTACTGTATGGTTTGCATCTTGAAAAATTTAATAATAAATCTAGGGAAGTAAATTGTAAGGTTCATCGAAGGGAAATCTGTGTAATGTAGTTTGCATCTCGGCGAAATTCTTTGGAAATTCTATAAAGGTAGATTCCGACGTTCATCGATGGATAAATTGTAGTGTATAGTTTGCATCTTGGAAAATTTAATGGGAAATCTGGAGAAGCGAATTCATCGATGGGAAATCTGTGCAATATCGTTTGCAGGAGAAATTTTATGGAAGATCCAGGAAGGTAGACTTCGACGTTCAACGATGAGTAATTTTGGGGTGTGGTTTGCAGCTTGGAAAAATCGAATGGAAGTCCAGAGGGGGAAGTTTGAACGATAGGGAACCATGAGGTGTGGGCGATGGTGTACGCGAGAACGATCAACAGTACAGAAAGCCGGCTCGATCCTCGAGGATCATAGTATTAACGAGTTCCTCGAACGGCACAGCGCTTCTTCCATGGAACAAGATACCCGATTGCCGAGAATCGAGGCAGCGTGAAGCGAGGAACGCTTCTAATTAACGTTTCTGTTCGTTACATCGAGTTTGACGATGATTCTCGGGGATGCTGCAATTTAGGCAGCTCGAGTCCTCGGTTAGCATGGTAACTAGGACTGTTGATAATCCGCCTGAGCGCTCCACGCTCTCGAACCGATTTGTTTTCGGTTCAACGATTACCAAGTTAGCTTGGATGAATAGCTATTCTTATCCTGAAGAAGCCATTGTTCCTCGACTAAATCGGAACGGGAAGGGAAACGGGGAGGCCAAGAAAATAGAGGATTCAATAAATGGAAAATTTTCGGTTCGGTTCGGTTTTTCGTCGTGTTCATCGATCATAATCATCGTCGCGATCATATTCGAATACAAGTTACGTAGGTAGTGTGCATGTTTTTCTAAAAATAATGTTTATTTCTGGGAACTTATTACAGACCTTTGTCTTTATTGTGGCGAGAAATATAACATAACAAAAAGAATTTAATAATAGATATTTTCAAATGTTTAATTTATGTTCTTATCCTAGAGGATTATTTAAGGAACCTAAATAAGGGGAACCCTAATAATCTAAATAAGGAACCTAAATAAACCTAAATAAGGAACACCTAAATAAGGAACCTAAATAAATAATTCTCTAATTATAATTCAGAGGATTTATTTAATATTAGGTTATCGGGGGGGGGGGGTGTACTTAGATTCAATAAGAGCTAGTTAGTTATATTGCACTAATAAGTTATTTGTACAGGTGGTATAAAAATATAGTCAGTAGAAAGGTTACCGCAGTATGAATATGGTTATCACAATTTCCACGTAGATGTGTAGTTCTACAAATCAGGATTTCAAAGCAAGTCCTCGAGAGATCGGACACGCGGGTTATCTTCGGTTGCGTCCTGATTAAAGGACATTTGAATTACATCCTCCCTCGCACAACATTCAGCGTCGATAGATGATCTCTAAAGGTCATCCTCTCTGGAAGAGGTCCTGCACACATTGATCTTTGCCGACGTCTTCGTAAACAACGAATATAAAAAATAAGCTGATGCCGCGGTGAACCATAGACCACGCACTTGTTGGATAACTCCTATGACTTTGACAATTTCAATTCTTAGAATTCCTAATGGGCTTTTTATTGCTCGCAATTATCTCTTAGATCTCTTACACCCGAGTTTTTATTAAAGCTGCGATAAGAATTAACGATCGCTTTTGTAGATCTTTCGTACTATCCAAGCATTTTCTCTCCGGGGCTCCGTTTTCGAGAAAATCGACTTTGAGATTTGTTCATATTTTTAAAGAATTTAAATTTGTTATTTAAAATTGCGCGGGCAATAGTTTACTCGAAGACAATTTTTATTTGATAAAAATACGAAACATTGGAATCTAGCAAGCTTTTCTGACTAAGTGGCTTGGAATACTATAAGACCAGAAATAGTAAATTAGAACTAAATGATTAGATCTAGATTACTTTAACTAGAAGACTAGGACTGGATATTATTTTAACTAGAAGAACAGAACTAGGAAGTTAGAACTAGAAGACTAGGTCTAAATTAGTTTAACTAGAAGACTAGAGCTGGATTATTTTAATTGGAAGACTAGAATTAGAAGACTAGGACTGGAAGACTAACTAAAAGATTAGAATTAGGCGACTGGGACTGGAAGACAATGCAGCTAGAAGATTAAAACTAATTCAGTGAAACTAAAAAAACGGAGCTAGAAGCAAAACTTGAAGAACCAACTAGATCTAGACAAATCGATTAGAAGAATCGACTAGAACAAAAAGAATCTATCAGAACTAGAAAGATCGATTAAAACTAGCAGAATCTATTAAAATTAGGAGAATCTATTAGAACTAGAAGAATCGACTAGAACAAAAAGAATCTATCAGAACTAGAAAGATCGATTAAAACTAGCAGAATCTATTAAAATTAGGAGAATCTATTAGAACTAGAAGAATCGACTAGAACAAAAAGAATCTATCAGAACTAGAAAGATCGATTAAAACTAGCAGAATCTATTAAAATTAGGAGAATCTATTAGAACTAGAAGAATCGACTCGAACAAAAAGAATCTATCACAACTAGAATGATCGATTAAAACTAGCAGAATCTTTTAAAATTATGAGAATATATTAGAACTAGAAGAATCGACTAGAACAAAAAGAATCTATCAGAACTAGAATGATCGATTAGAACTAGCAGAATCTATTAAAATTAGAACAATCAATTAGAACCAAAAGAACCGATTAGAACTAGATCAACCCGATCAGAACTAGAAGAACGTACCCAAACTAAAAGAACCGGATACAACTAGAAGAATCTATTAGAACTAAAATAATCGATTAAACCCAGCAAAACCGACCAAAACCCCGTACATCACAAAACAAGCTCAGCCGTAGGCACTCACCCCATAGCGTCACTGATGTCAAGGGAAACAGAAAAGAAATCGATTTTGTGAACCGGTCGCGCAACTAGCTCCCTTAAAGCCTGAAACTAGCTCCGGCCTCACGGTCGACGCGTCCATCCGCTTGAATCTCCGGTGCGTCGGAAAATCAGGGGCACGGGGCGAGCCAGATAGAAGAGAGGGGTTGCGTTTAAAAGGTGTCCCGTCGCGGCGGAGCCGTAACGCGAGCCGTCGACGATACCTTAACGAGAACCGGCAGCGTTAATTTCGCCATCCCGGCAACCTTGGTCCCGCGGCGCAGCATCAGAAGCATCTAGCAGCAGCTAGAAGCATCAAGCAGCAAGCGGAGCCGACGTGGTGGTCGTCAGCTGTGCGAAGGTCAGGGTCGTCCGGCAGCCGAGGGTGCAATCGATGCACGACTGCTCTCTCTCTCTCTCTCACTCTCTCTCACACACACTCTCTCCCCGTCTCTCTTATGCACCCCTCGCACGCTCCGGTTACCATGGAGACCATCTCCTGACCCATTGCTACAGAGACCGGAGCCCGTCGACGCGGAGAGAGGCTGCATCGGGTGTCCGTCTCTCGTCGGGAGCGTGTGTCGCAGACACAGGAACACGACCACCAACACCGGCGCCGACGTCGACACCGACGTTACCCACGTCCCTCCTCTCTGCGACATCGTGTGCATCCTCTTCCGCGAGAGTGCCCGGCGTCCCTCTCTCGGGCGCCTCCGTTCTCCTCTAACCGAGTTCCGCGAGGATTCCGGCCCGGTCGCTCGCGTCCACCGATTTTCTCCTCACCTACGTTCGATCTTCGACGCGCCGGAGTGACCTTGCCCTCCGCGAGACGCACCTAAAGCGAGAAAGAGAGAGAGAGATAGAAGAGCGCGCGCAGGAGAGAACGGAGGAGCAGAACGCGGAGAAGTTTCGTAACCGGGTGTTACACAACGAACCGCTGGCTGCCCGAAACAGACTGTTCTCCCCGGTTCCGGACACCCTCCTCTTCCTCTTCTTCGGCTCGTCTCGTAGGAGAAAGTACATTTCGCCGAGAGATCGAGCATAGATCGCGCCGGGCCTCTCCCGGAACTAGGGAACACGTCCGACACGCGGAAACTGAATCGACGGAGTGTCTATGCCGGTGTCTTCCTCGCCGAATCGCGGACCTCGCGACGATGTTGTAGCTCGTCAGGGTCGAATTCGGGGTTCTGGATACCGGTGGTTCGGGTTGTGAAGGCTGGAGCCGTGGCCAAGTGATGTCGTAGCTCGCGAGACGCGTAAACGCTGGTGTCTGCCTTCGAAGTCCGAATCCTGGAAGCCGAGCGGACGTTGCAGCCTGCGAGGACGAAATCCTTCGAAGACGCTATCGGCTGCCTTTGAACGTTGAATCCTGTAAAGTGAAACGTCGTTACCTGCGAAAGATCTGAACTCGGAGCTCTCCGCGCTGGTGTCTGCGAAAGACAAATGCTGAAAAGTGGAACATCCTTTAACTAAATCCTGAGAAGTGAAACATTGTAGCTAGCGAAGCTCGAACCCCGGGGACTTCCTGCGATGTGTTGCACCCTGCGATAACCCTGATCACTTCGATGCTGACGACGGTGTCTAGTCGCTAATTAGAAAACCGATCGCGGGTCATAGTTCTCGGAGGAGACAGCCGAGAGCCACGCGTTGTGCAAGGTCGGTGTGAACGGGGACTAAGGTCAGCTGGCTCGGATCGATAGCCCCTTGGACTCGGTCTGGGCATACATAGAGTTGGCTGGCACGCGGCTTTTCGGGTGCGCGCGTGGGTGTGTTGATCATCGGCTGCGGTGCCGGCTCGTTCGAGTCCGTCGGTCGTGTTGCCATAGGGAGAGAGTCGACGGGGAACGGTGTGACGATGGATGGCTGGAAGAGCTGGAAAAGGGCGGAGAATTCGTTTCTCGCGGCGTGGTACCAGCGTGTCAGAGAGTCTTATGTAGCGGCCTGGTTCTTCGGGGTGTTTCAGACCAGCAGGATGTCGACGAGCACCGCCACCGGCGGCGGCGGAGGAGGCGGCGGGGGTGGCGGAGGCGTCGGGGGCGCTCTGACGCTGATGGGCTGTGTCAGGGAGGCATCGCCGCCTCCGCAGAACCATCATCATCACCATCACCATCATCAGCAACATCGAACCCTGGGCCTCGGCGAGTTCTCCGCGCAGAGCAGCGTCGACCCGCTTCCGAAAGGTAAGTGTCCACTGTTGTCAATCTTTCGTTTCTCTGGTCCGGAACGTCTCGTCGTGTCCCAGATCAATTTAATCCATTAATAGAAGGAAAGTATTGACCGGTTAGCTGTGGCGCCTTCTTTCCAAAGCGCGTATCTATATGTGTCGCGAGAATCAAGCGACGACGAGTATACTCGTCGAACACGGAGCAAGCGTCGCTGTTGAAATATTGGATCGAAAATACGGTTTTATTTTATAAAATTAACCATTTTATTACTAATATTTACTTATGCATTCGACATTGACATGTACTGCATACATAATGAACGAAAAACGCAAGAAAAATCAAATACTTATGAAAGTTAAACATTCAAATCGAAGCTGTAGAGTGGTATTCTGCGAAGCAAGGAACGATACATAATGGTACATTGCATGTCGAACACCAATATCGCGAATTATTCATATAATTATTCATATGTTTTATTCTGGTCTGGCCTCAAAATATTCTAAACATCTTGAAATTTCAGTATATGTTTTTGTTTTCACAAAAATTACAATTTAAACAGCCAGTGGTCACTACTTTTTACGCACGACAAATATACTCGTCGTAACACAAAATACTGCCACTTTTCCATGACGAGTATACTCGTCGAACACAGCTAACTGGTTAAATTGTGGTTATTAGTTTCAACCTGAAGTTTACAATGATTTAAAACAAAATGACAGGAATTCTTAATTGTACTTTCATGGAGCACGTGATATGTTCTCACTATTTTAACCCTAGAAAGATAACCATATGACAACGTACGTAAAAGATAACCATACGCTTCAGAGGCGCATGCTTTTCTAAGGCGTCAATTTTATACTAACAATGGATATTTATTTAAGTTAATCTAGTCATTTTAAAGGTTTGGCATTATTGTAAAAATAAAATGCATTTATATTATATTTTTTATATTTTAAGTAATTTTAAACTTAAATCACTAGACCTCTATGAAAAATTAACAAAAATCAACAGTCTTCGCAGGCGCCTCTGCGACGTAGGTTATCTTTCTCGGGTTAATGCCTGTATTATATTTAAAAGTCGCACTTCTTGAAAGAAAAAAATTTGAAAGTGTCCCAAAAATGGGACATTGACGGACAATAGGTGATTCTACGTGAACAAATAAGACAAAAATTTGGTACATTCTTTTATCCGGGACTCCGTTTTCGAGAAAGTCGACTTTTAAAGTTCGTTCACCTTTGCGGAGGATTTTGTTGTCGCGTCTATTGTTCTATCGCAGTTGGCTCCGTCACAGTATTTACAAATGTTATTTATTGCGAACGATAGTAGTAAGCCGAATTTCACCATCAACGTTTGTAAACACTATCTCGGACGGAACAACTGCGGTAGAAGAATGAACGACAACTAAATCCTTCGCAAAAGTGAATCGAACTTTAAAGTCGATTTCCTCGAAAACGGAGCCCCGGATAACAGAAAGTTGCACCAAATTTTTTTCTTATCTTCCACGTAGAATCACCCTCCATCCGATTAAACTACGAACTCCGGCTCAGCACGTATAGGGTAAGGGTTGCAATTACCGAGGTTGCACGGAATACCGTCGCTTTCACTTATTTCAACGATAATCACAGCAATGTGACAAAGGATTGTAACCAAGAAAATGTTAGTGCAACATTTGATATTATATTGACGGCATAAAACCATTCAAGTTCTCCATTAGTTCACTGTAAGTTGACAAAATGCCGTCTTTATGCCTATATGCCTGCTTACTCAAAAAATTTAATTCGTATAAATGGTCATAATTTTGAATAGTTAACCCTTTGCACTCGAGTGGTGACTCTAAGGCACCACTAAAATTGTTACATCACGTTCCAAGATAATATAATATAAATAATATTTAATAAATATATTAATATAATATTTAATACAGTATAAGATAAATATAATATCAAAGCTTAGGTATAAAGAATTGTTAAAAGTCTAACTGTCGTCTGAGTCACAAGACTCGATTACGTATGCATGAAATGCACTTTGTCACTAAAATGGAAATACCATAAGTGGAAAAAGTTAATTGAAATTCACAGTTAATATGGCTTCGAGTGCAAAGGGTTAAGTCTCTTAAAACAATGTTATTACACTATAAAAACCATTATAGACTTCATAAAGTTTCTTATAAAGAAAATTAGAGTCTATAGAGAGAGAGCATTAACATTTCTCGTACAGTTTCCGCAGTTACAGTTAGAATAAATAAAGCAGCAGAATAAATAGGGCACATAACTGTGGTACACGTTTTTGAACTCTCGACGCATTACCGAGATCGGAATTAAGTCTATGTTCCGCGGCCGGTCCCGATTCTCTGGACGAAACTAGTTTTCTCGTTTCACACGTTTCCTGGTATCGGGAAAATCTGTCCGTAACGATCGCGAATGTCGCCGCGCGCGGCTCGAGAACACGTCGCGCAGAAGAAACCGCCGGCGTGACGCAATCCATTGAACGTTGCCGTATTTTTAGTGCAACAATGCTGAATGGATCGCGACGATATCGAAGCCGAGCATCTCGCGCACATAGTAGCATCGATCGATGGAACGTGAATTAACTCGTTCGAGCGATATTTTCGACCCCGTTCAGCATGCGTGCCGGCGAAGAATGTGCCGCGCTCGCTCGAGCACACGTGTGCGCGCGGACGAAGAACAATAACGTGATTCACTCGGAGGCCCGGTCCACGATTGGAAAGATTCGTTCTATTGAATTAAATTGCTACCGAGCGTCCGCGACGTGACAGATCAAACGCATCAAAAGTTAGCCTAGTACGCCGAGCGGCGGCCGCCGGGCGTTCCCGGCGTCCGGCGAGACGATGCTTCGACGAGCTCGTTGCGGGAACGCCAACGAAATCGAGGCGTTTCGTTGGGCAAGAGCGAAGCGAAAAACTATGAGTAATTGAAACCTCGCAGCGGAACCTTGGGACGGCTGGAATTGGTTCGAACAACGGCGTGTCGATCATTATCTAAGATCGCTCGGAAGGTCAGCGCCGCGCAACAAACCTCTCGGTATCACCTTCGGATCACACTTCGGACTCGGTTTATCCGGACTAGATAGTTGTAGGAAGTCGTTCTGTTTGCCCTTACGAGCCGGTTAATCGGAATTATCTGCGATCGTTAACGACGATAACGCGTTTCGATGAACCGCGCCCATCGCTCGCGTACGTTTCGGAGCGCCCAAGTCTCTCTCGACACCGTCGAGACGCTCTGGAAATATCAAATCTGTATGCTCCGATGAATCAAATCAACCGTTAGCGTCCCGCGAATTATTATCGAGGGAGAGATCGACGATAATTCGTTGCGATTCCGGATGATCGGAATCTCGTGCCGAAGCTTTGGAGAATCGAATCGGCGACGAGCCCGATACGCCTCGGCAAATTGATTCGCGGAGAGGCGAAATGAACGGCGACGCCTGTTATCGCGGGAAAGCATTACGAAAAACGGCACGCCGTCGGCGAGACGGTCTAGACGCGTGTCGTGAAACGACGTCTCGCGACGAGATCGGTTTCCCAAGGTCTCAGCCGTGGATTACACAGCGTCGCAGAGGCAAACGAGCCGTGCTATGGGAAAACGGATTTACGTAAACGGGCCCGCGTATCCTATCGATTCCGTAATTTACAGGCATCTCGAAGTCACGCGAGCCGTCCCGAGAATCCTCTGCCGGAATCGCGTACCCAACGGCGACCATCGTCGAAACTATTCAAAGAGAAATCGACTTTTTTACCGCGGCAACGTTTTCCATACGACAAATCGTCGCCGTTCGAACTGCTGTAACTCCGTAAAAAAGACGCGTCCGACAATAAACGTGGTCTCGTTTTGAAGCTCGAAGCTTCCGCTTTTGCCTGGCATCGTTCGTTTTCCTGTAACATGTGTTTGCGTTACATCGCAAGCTGGGAAACCGGATATATACGCTTTCTTGAAAATGTTACGGATTCAAACGTGCGTAAATTCGCTAGAGAATTTTTTAAATGACCGATACTAACGCAGGTGTGAAAATCGAAGCTTTCTTTTTACGACAGAATGATTCTTTTTGCGTGCGATTTTTTTCAGCACACTTTGCCGAGCTTCGAACGAAGAATGTGCGCACGAACGAGAGCTTCACGCTGCCGTAACTCGTTCCCCGTGTCTGTTCCATAAAACGCCTAGAAAAAATCGTAGACCAAGTTTCGAGGAGTCGTTGCAAAGAGGAGACTTCACTCTTCGAATCCATCGTCGATTCATTCGCGAACAAAATTTTCCGACGTTTCCGGAGACGTTCGAATTTGTCGCAATTTCGAGCAAAGTCGTGTCTTCGGCTTTCCGCGTCATTCGGTTTTCCACCAGCTGTATCGTGGAAAAAATCAGGTCGGAGGACAATCTGAACCACGGATTGTAAAAGCAGAGGCTTCGGGCTTCAAATCGACTCCGGGTTCGTCGTCGTGCGACTATTCGTTACGAAATTATAACGGTTTAAATACCGGCGGGTTGTCGGAAATGGAAAAAAAGTACACGGAGACGGTAGACAGCTTGCGAAAATAGGAACCCGCGTCGCGATCCCGATAAGGCTCGATTTCCAAGAAAAAGTTAAATCTCCCGTAATTGCTGGGCTGGGAGCGTCGATCGCGTGCAAACCACCGTCTAGAATACAAGGTAAACGTTGTCGCGGCACGGTCGAGAATTAAGGTGAAAGTTTCCGCGAGGCAGCACCACGATTCTGGTTCCGTTCGGTCGTGTAATATATATATACATATACATACATTGTATGTATGTGCATTACATGGTATACACTTATACAGTATGTACAGTGTAATGGACGCGTGGTTCCAGCGAGTTATTAAAGGGTAATCCAGCGGAGTGCCCTTTTATTCATTGTCGTCGTCGCCGGAACGTGACTTCGTTGCCGTTTGCTCCCGAGAGGGTCCAACGACCTCTCTTTATTTTCATTAGCCGCCGGTAGATTACGAGGCTGCCGGCTAGATTAGCTCGTAAGTTAATATCTGAATC